GGGGGAAAGAAAAGGGGATTGACTTTAACCCATCGGGAGGGGGCGGGGTATACGCCCCTGACTAGAGCTACACATCCTTCCAGCTATAAAATAAAACAGAGGCTAAATTAGCCCTTTATTTTAAACATAATGGCACATTAAGTTGAGTGCACCAACGAATGTATTGTGACCTAAAATATCCCACCCCCCACAAAAAAAAAACCAAAAAAAAAAAAACAAAAAAAAAAACCTTGCATTTACGTTTCAAGAAAAGAGGGGAGATAGCGTAACCTTGCATGGCCCATGTCACAGGAGAATAGCCAATAGCGTTGCATAATACTGAAGCACTCCTTGGATGTAAAAAAAACAAAAAAAAACAACAACATAAAATGCTAGTGTTGGCAATTGTTGGTTTGCCTTATTTTCGCGCGATACATCTACAGCCTACATCCGAAGTACTCTGTGCCATGGCACATTACAAATATCTGAGATTGACCCAATAAATACGAAGTAACCTTTGTTTTAATTAAGTAAGTATTTAGAATCCAAATCTATTTTTTCAAAATTAAAAGTTTACTCCAACTTTAGTAAAAATATTGGCCAGTTTTTCCAATTGGCTGAGTATTTAAGATCTACCGACGCAGTGGATATAACCTCTAATATTAGGCCTATATATATTTTGCTTCTGGTATGTCCTGATTTCTTTTCACATCAGGTCCTCCTCCTACTCAACATTTTTTATAATAATAGTAATGACTGGGGAAAAAAAAAAAAGATAAAGCTGTCATGCAGCGAGCATCATGCGTGACGGCAGTGACGGTTTAACTCAGGGAATAAGGTTGAATTTTTTCGTTCTATTTTATTAATCAATATGTATATATTAATCAATAAAGAGCCAGATATATGATGAAGGACTGTCTGTTTATAGATAATGAGAAGATGACTCCTTTTTTGTGTGTAGCACTAGGACACATTGGGTATTTTCTCAAAATAACGGGACCTGATGTGAAAGAACTGCACTCAGTTAAGCCTTAGTAAATAATATTAGTTTGGCTGCCGAGAGCTTTCCTGTCACAATTGTGCAAAGAACGCACGCAATTTTGCTGCTTAGAGTTAGTCAGAATATTTAAAAAAAATAGTAATAATTAACAGAAAACAATGCATCATATCTCTTGTCTTATTATTTTTAATTATTAATAGGTTTTAAGTGCTGGGAATATTTCCAACCAAGAAATAGATTTAAAAAAACCACTGAGTATGTTAATATTTATTTTATTTTAATAATTCATAACTGGCCTACATTTTGTAGTAAATGTGGCAAGTTAAACAACTACAAGCTTATGGTAAAGAACGTGTGAACTCATGCTGTCAAAAATATCTTGATCATTTCACATCTGTTAGTCTTTTGACATCGTTAAAATGTCTTCAAACGAAAAAGCTCCTAATACTCCTTTTTATACACAAGCCTGGAGTCATGCTACGCCAGCTGGAGAGGGAGCAACCAACAGTAACATACCCAGACCACCAAAGGAAGTCACTGAAAGTAGAGTGTTGAACATAGTCCGACAAAATTGTGAAAATAATGGACAAATTCAGAATTCAGGAAAATGTGGTAAGATTCGAAGTTACTTTGAGTTTGAGGGATTTCCTTTTCGAAGGAAAAAAATAATAAGTTGAATAATAAAAATAATTTTAGTACTATTAATTAGTAGGCTTCTAAAGCCAAGGGCCAAATATCAATTTGTAACAACAATAAAACTAAGGGATTCGTAAAACTAATTTTGGATGAGGCTAGCCTAACTGACTTGGACTAGACTAAAACTCTTCAAGTCTAGACTAAGACTTAGGGGAATAAATTGTGCGATTTTAAACTTTCATTTAATAAAATGACAGAAAATGGACAACAAAATAACCACAAAAAAAAACTTGAATTTGAATAAGACCAGTAGCCATGTCATGTCATGTATAGAATATAATGTATATAATATATAATGTATGCATTTGAGAGATTGACCCTTGCCATAACAGTACAGCAGAAATACTGCTCAGTGCTATAAGGCAAACGCTTTATACAGGATAATGTGATGACTACACTATGGTAGAGAATACCAAACAAGAAATTTATCAGTGGCAGCAATTAAAAATGGTAAACTGCACTGGGACACCTCGCGATAATGCGAGTATAGACATGGTCATTGACTCCTAGGTCTTACTCTTAGTCATAGTGATTTATAGAGAAAAACCTTGAATGGAACCTTGATCATCAATGTCAATAGACTAGACTGAAGATGAGGTGAATAAGAATAGGATGATCTGGACATTTTTGGAGACGAATTGACATCAGCTGATGATACATTATTGGAAAGGAGGGGCAAAGGTGGTAGATCATATTTTACCTTCTTGATGAATTTAATACTAATAAAATGGAATATATAATATAATAGAAAATTTATTGTTGGTCCATATTGTCTATCTCTCAATTATTAAAGAATCCAAATTTATTTAATTTGTAGGGATTTTAATATTTAAATTGTGTCTTTCTGTAGCTAAGCCTAAGCAGCCCTTTAACTAATTCTACAAAAACAAAAATTAAATTCCAGCCATTTTTTTTTCCATTTAATAACATTTACACACGACTTAAAAGAGCCCTTGGGGTCTATTCTGAAACCTCTTCTGTCATCAGGGTGTTCTTCTTAAAGAAATTGTCTACTGGTCACAGTTGTAAGCTTTAGTAACCTATTAATTTATTTCAAATTCTTCATTAAATTTCATTTAAAAAATCAAATATTACAAAACAATAATATGGCAGGTTTGAAGCACTAAAGTTCTGGGGAAACAAGTAAATAATTATACTCAAATACGATCACTGATTACATACCTTTAATTTATGATGCTAAAATATGAGATCACAGTCATGGATTGGTTTGCATGGGAATTTTAAGGTAGTAGATGGTTGAGATCTCCTGCACTTCATATCTATTGTTTCCATGAGTTTGAAAGCTTTTGGAAGATACATTGGTTGTTTAGTCATATCATTTTTTAAGTTTTCTAGTACTGTGTGTCCTTCATTTCCCCATCTTACAATAAAGGTACTTCACTAAAAATTTCAAAGTAGTTATTTATTAATGAAACTTGTACCATTATAAAGTCTAAGAAAGGACTCTGTATTTCCTTTCCATTCAAGTCCATTGATAGCAAGTTTATTTTTATATTTTAATTTTTTTTTTAAAGTTATCGCATTTTAAGTTTCATTATTTGGCCTTACATAGCTTATCTGTCCGCCTTATTAATTAATTCCCTAAAATCTGTTGTCGAAAGACATCTTCAACATTCGTGATGTGTTTTCACTTTTTTGTTTGCAAAGTTAAAGTTCTGAAAGTTTCAGTGCATTTCAATTAGGTTTCGGGCTTTAATAATAAACCTTTGTGATGTTATTACTGCAATAAAAATATAAATTTTATCTCTTGAGTTAAAGCCTCAAAATTAAAAATGGCAATAAATGTTTTGATGACTGGTCTTTGAACAACAGAGGAAATGTAAATTTCTTTTTAAAATTAGACATTCATTCAAAAGACCACATTTTTTACTTGTAATGTTACAGCCTTCAAATTTTCAGCATAGTTAAATTATGTATAGGGGTGCAATAACAGCCATTTTATTATTAATATTGCAATAATTTTATTACAATCATTGGGATTTTAGCAACGGAGAGTAAGTAAATTTAATTTAAAAATTTAGCCTTTTTGTGCATTAAAAATACAAATTGCATAAATGTAAATGGTGAAGTTATTGCGTACAATCATAGTTTATTACTATTAATACTGTATAAATATTTCCACAGAATAGCTTTATGAAATAATTAATAATAATGTATTGTTGCATTGAAAAAATGCTGATCACAAATGTTAAATATGATGATCTAATCCATGAAATTAATGATCCAAGTATCCATGCTATTTGAAATCCACAGTACAAATGATGATAATTAAACATTATATTAGTACTTTTATAGTTCACTTAAAGTTAATGGCTGAATAAAAAAAGATACATTTTCTTTTATAGAAAGATGATGGTCAAAAGCAATGTTTTGGCTGAGTCCATGGCAATTTTGATCAAATATATAACAGTAACAGTTGTAGATACCATTGATAATGATTCACTCCATATCAAAGATGAATGGATTTACAAAAATGGTTACCTTTATGTCAACATTGTTGATTCCACCCACATTGATTATATTTGAGTCCTGTGTGTATAAATTGCCAATAAAATGCAGTTGATGGAGAAAAATATCCAAAGCTGTTAAGATTATGCTTTGGTGGTCCCCATTGTGCTGGATTGTCCAGTGGGACATTCAGTCACATCAGGATGGGTCTTTGTTAAAACAGGAAAGACCAGTAAAACAACTAAAGTTGTTACAAGTAAAATTGTTCATGTAGACATATTTTGGCAGTGGAGACCGTATTCCAGAGAAGTATAGAGAAAAGTTTTGCTGAAGGAGCACTATGCACAGCTGGGGAGTCAGCACTTATAGGTAGAAGAAGCATTATTTTCCACTTCATCGCTACACAAGCTCCTTGTAATTCTGTGTGGGTCATGTAATCGGGACGAACTAAAATAGATATAGAAATTCAAATTTAATTAAAAAACAAAATAAACACTTTAACATAAGTAACAAATGATACCTTCTATATAACAATTTGAGTCTCATCTGTATTATTTCATATTCTTTATTGTCTACCTCTTCAGATTATAGCCAACCCCCACCTTCTGGAAATCATCACCCTCAGACTCAGTCCTCTTTTCAACCAAGCCAAAAGCAACTCACACTTCCAGAAATAAAGAGTCAGCTATCTGCTGATGCTAAAGTATTTGTTCCACGGAATCAGGTTGAGGTATTATGAATTGGTATCACTAATACCTGTCTAAATAGTTTGCAAAAGTCCTAGTGAAGAAGGATGATTTAAAAACAATTTGCCTGAAAATTTTTAAGCTTTTAACAAAAAGTTTTTTTATGCAAAATTATCTGCGCCAAAATAAAAATTCTTCATAGAAATATTTGTTTTAAACTAGATGTTACATTGATTAGCTACTAATATTTTCTAACCATTCACAATTTGAAGGCAGATGCTTGCTAACTACCTAACATTGAGTTTGTTACTGCCTCTAAGCATGGTAGATGGTTTATCTCCTAGTATTTAAATGTTTTACTTTGTTCCAATGTCTCAAATAAATGAGACCAGTGGAAATTCTTGAAGCTTTGAGCAAGATTTATCAAAATTGATAGCAATATTTAATAATTTTTTTGAAAGTGGTGAATAAAATATCACTAGTGTGAAATAATCTGGTATTTTATATAAAAAGAGTTTGGAATAGACTATAGAAGTGCAATGGAGATAAACTGGATATTAAGCTAAAAATTGTTAATCATCTTCTAGACTGTATACCTGCCTGATTCCTATGATGACTCTCAATACAACACATCAGACGATTCCTATGGCTTGTCGGTTAGTGCTGCTGAATTTGTGCCCCGAAGCGCTGAAGACTATAACTCTTACAATGAACAATATTATCAAGTATGTGTTCCAGCTATTAATGCTTTGTGCCACATCTTTTATGTGTTGCTTCTCTCAGTTTCCATATAATTCTCAGAGCTTGATCGAGAGCACTAATTTTACAAATTTTTAGACATACTTTAAGTCTTAAAATTTGTTGCTTTAAATGAAATTATCAAATAAATACTGGAACCATATTTTATAGTAACTCATTTCATCCTTCATTGAATTATTATAATAAATATTCTATCAGAATTGTTGATGCCTTTCTTTTGTCTTTTTATGTATAGACCATACCCTACGAATATGATGATCCTAATTATGTTATGAATGCACTGAATGGGCTATCTTTGCAAGAATATGAGCCCAGTTCATCTTACAATGGGCACGGAGAGAGCACTGGCAATGCAATACTGGATCGGTTCAATCATTGTCTTTATGTGCTTAATATGCACCCTGGAAACATGGAGGACTATCTGCGTCCTATTTGTGAAATGATTGAAAGATCTGGAAGTACTGAAATTGTCAATGAAATGGTTGAGAGTTTATTCAATCAGGTAAAAACCTTTTAAAAATATTTTTTGGCTCTTTAGATTTTAAATTGTATACTTTTTTAATAACCTTCAAATGTATAAGTCTATGTCAAAAAAATTAACTGCTTATTTTAAATGTTATATTTTCAGAGTATACAAGAGCAAAATTTTCGATACACAGGGGCAAGAATATGCCAATTTCTTACTAGTAACTTAAAGAGCAATCCACTGTTTTCTGGCTTTCACAAAATTTTCATTAAAAGGTTTGTAAGATACCCTCTTATTTAAAAAAAATTGCAATGGATTTTTATTATTTTGTTAAAGATGGGATGCCTTAATAATTTACCAATTCACAATGGTCTGCATAGTTTTTTAAGCATCTTTTTTTTTCTATAATTGGTAATTAAAAAAAATAATTTTTTTAAAATTCCATTTAATAATTTTTTCCCACAATACTTTGTCTGAATGAATAGAACACAATCTAAATGACTCTTTTGTGTAATCTATTAATTACTTCAGATGTCAAGTCGAATATGAAAAGCTAATCCAGGGTAATTGTTGTGACCAAGAAAGGTTACGTGGCTTGTCCATGTTTATGGCCGAGATCTTTCTAAATGTAGAGGTAAAAAATTTCTTAATTAAAAGAAATTTACATTTAAAAATTTACTTGCACACATTTTAAAGTAAAGTTTGTATTACATATTATTTTAAATTTCGTTAATTGAAATAGTAATTGACTTGACAATATTTTGTTTTAAGACTGTTAACCAAGATGGAGCAATTGAAAGGCTGGCTTTTCTTCCAAAAATACTCATACACTTTGTTCATACTCTGCTATCTCAACCTAATGATCTGAATGTGAAGTGTTCATGTCAGCTTCTTAAGGTAAATATTTAAATATTAAATTTAAAAAATACAAATAACAATAATTTATTGACATAAATTTCTTTTTATGCAATCAATCATTAATTAATGAGAATTAAAATTTGTAACACATTTTGTGTAGTGCATTTTTTTTTTTCTACTGATTTGGTTTTTGTAATTTCATTGTAAATTTACATATGCATAATTTTTGCATTTTTTTCATTAAGTTGTCGGGTGCATTAATCGACGATGTAGTGAAGTCACAGCGTGATCAATGCATTAAATTTGAGGAAATTTTTATTAAGCTTCAAAAGCTCAAGTCTGATCCTGGATTATCAGAGTAAGTCATTCATTATAAATAAGTTAAAATAGAAATTTAAAAAATTGTTTGTGTTTTGGGGAGCATTTAATTTATGTAGTTGCTTTTAAAACTTTTTTTTTTTTTTTCATTTTGGCTGAATGTGTAAATTTTACACTCTCCTTTATCTGATTCCATTTTCTTATAGAAATAAGTTTAAACAATGTATACTACTTAATGCTTTAAAACTAACACCTTTTTGGTGAACAAAATTACCCTGATTTAAGAACTCTATTTAGATTGGCTAACACTTTGGATCAGTATTATCATTCAATGTAAGTTTTGCGAGTAAACAAGATTATGATTCTCTCATTATCAGTAATGCTAAATTCTTGGTGGGAAGTGTTCTAAATCTGAAAGAAAATGAATGGAATAGAAGTGTGTCATCGCCACCAAAAAAGACCTTTCAGTTTACAACAGATCCCAACAATTTCCAGGTATAAAAATGTTATTACTTATTAAAATTTACCTTAAGTTAAAATACATCACAAGTAATTGCAGATCTATGTCATACAATGAGGGACAACCAATATTAGAATAGGACTAATGAAATGCCATTAACAAATTTTGAATTGCTGGAATTTTAAGTCATGTAAAAAAAAACAACCCAATTAAGTTACCAGACCTGTTTACTCGTACGATTTTGGCGTACAATGTACGATTTTGAGGTGTATACATTATATATACTGATGTTTAGTTTACTATTAAGATAATGTATTGATTGATTTTGTGATATATTGTACGATTTTAAGAGTTTGAGGGTAAACAGGTCTGAGTTACTGATTTGAAAATTTACTCCAGGTTCCTGAACCTGTTTTCTATAACAATGATGGCTCAATATGCAGTAGGACAGAAGCAGGTTTACCAGAGGAAGAAGGTGAGGATGGTGCCTATGTATTGAATGAAGAAGAGGAGATTGCATTTCTTGAATGGCAGGCTGAACAAGAAGGCTTGACAGACCAAGGACAAGGTTACTTCAATGATACTGGATATGATTCTTACCAGTTGTGAGTGCACTGTTCATTTTGCTGTCTGTCCATAAATGAATTTTTAATTTAGTTTATAGACATAGCTATAACAAATAATTAGAATCACCAACCCTGGCGTATTTGGTGTTGACTCCTGTTTTTTTTTTTCTTGTTTGGTATTAATAGAACTTACTCCCACATAGAAAGTATTTTAATCAGTGTTGGTTATTAGGGATTTAATACGACTGTAGCTTTTAACTTAGTTCCAGGTTCTCCAGTGTATAGACATCCATTCAATTTAAACATTTTTATTAGATTTGCAGAAACTTTTACCACATTCAGGGGTGCCACTTTTCCGGGCCATCCCGGAATTCCGGATTCGTGAGGCTAAATATTTTTCAGTTCCGGATTCGCGAGTTTTTATATTCTCTCTTTCCGGATTCGCCAGTTCAATTTATTCAAATACGGATTCTGTCTGTTTTTTGTTTTTTTAAAGAATCAACGTGCAACAGAATTCGCGAAAAACCAGGAAAATTCCTTGAAAATGGACGTTAATCGCCGATCTCGTCTATTTTTAGCCTTTCTGTTGACAGAGAACTAGAGGTTTCCCCTTGCGCATGCGCTTTACGCTACGCGTTTCGAGTACCGTAATACTTCAATAGACCAGAAATATTTATTTTCTGTTCACGTCGCCGATCAAGAGATATTTGAAGTGTTTGGGTAAGGAAAGTGTAAAATTTAGTAAATATCTTTTTAATTTAGTTTTTAATTGTTGGGTAACCATTATCATAAAAAGAAAACTACTCGTCCGAGCGCTGTCTAACAAGACTAAGCTTAGCGTACTTTGTTATGTAGTTTTACTGTATGCAGGCGACTTGTATTTTTTTTTTTTATTAGAAGAGCTAGGCGGCGTTTAACTTTTTTTAAAGACTTCTTAAGTTCACTTTACATTTAATTACGGAGTAAGCCTTCTAATTTTAAATAGGCTAATATGATTAAGTTATTTTTATCCGTTCTGTAGAGAGCCTGACATAACCGTATTTAGTTAGTTTTTATTTATTAGTTATGCACTCCCGTGTTCTGACTCTGGGTATACTACTTTACGGTAATTTGTAATTCTACTATTAGTATTCATAATGCTCTGTATTACCGTAGCAGTAGTGCCGTAGTTAAATTTAAATACTGGTATAATATAGTCGATATTATTATTATGTATGCCTTACTATAAACTATAAATCTAATAATATTTTATTTTGTTTCACTATTCAGGATCTAGGCTCAATAAAAATATGTAATGCCCAACAGTTAACAGTTCCTTTAACTTTAAAGAACTGATGGGCATTACAGTTACAGTACAGCAATTGGCAATCATGATTGAATAAGCATTCAATGAATACTATGCTGGAAATATTGATATCAAGTATTCAAGGGGAAAATGTCTGAGTCAATCATCTTTATCACCCATCTTAGGTGTCCACTTTTGTAACTTCTCAATTTATGAAATTTATGTGTCAAACTATGAAACTCTCACACTTGGGAGATAGTATAGACACTAAAGTGTGTTGATTCAAACTATCCATTTTCATCATAAAGAAGACAACATTAACTCCATATATGAAAAGATAATTTCCATTTGTGGTAGCTATACTTTTGTTCTAAAATGCCCAGATAACTCATTGCAAAAGTTGACTTTTCAAGTCTAAGTAAATTGAAAAATTGCTATTGCTGTAAATTTAATAAATACTAATAAATGTTTACATGTATACACCTTAATTGCTTAATTTTGTTCATTTGTGATGTATCTCAATGTTTTATTTGATAATTTCATGCTTGTTTTTATATTAATCAACAAAATGCCGCATTGCGATAATCAGGAATTTTGAGTTTCATTAAGTTTCAGGGATTGAAAAATTTGTAAATGAAGTTTCAGGTTTCAAGAAATTTTTAGAAAGGGATTTCAGGGTTCACAGCTTTCAGTGAGTGGCACCCCTGACCACATTTCAATATTTAATTTCCTAATACAAATAACATGGTCGAGATCTATTTTACAAAATTTTCTACACTTAATAGCTATCATTACCCTCTTGTCACTTGATGTTTCCTGAAGCCACCATAGCCCTCCTTAATCTTGTGGAAAAGAGGAGGAGGGGTCGGGGTTGCCCACTTTATAAATAAAATAAAATTATTATAACGTGTCTGATTTAATAGCAAAGTAATGATTATAGTTAAAGCATTAGAATGGGAAATATATACATTTTTAAAAGATAAATGATATAGCTTATGCAGTAAGAATAACATAGATGTTTGCTTTCAGTTTTAATTCCCTGCCACAAAATACTTTTCATTCCATTATTTGACATCATTTTCAGTTAAGATCACTCCTCTCAATGAGCCTATCATTGTCTTGTTCCAGCTAGTCTGAATCGGAGTGAAATAAATCTTAAGATTCTTGGAAGTTCAAGAAATTTTATGTTATACCATATCTTTTTTTACCACTCTGAAACATTATCTAATTTTATTTTCTCGCGATGAACATCATTAGTTTTATAGCTTAAAATGCAGAGGAATGGCTGGAACAATCCTTTCATGAGCAAGAACGTTTTTATAATATATTTTATGATATATAAAGGCTATTTAGGGTCAAAGAGATGCATGGGAATAAGCGTCTTTATCTACTTTTAGTTTTGTCCACATCAGAGCAACAAAAATGAAAAAAAAATGCCATTTGGCTTGCATCATAAAAGTGCTTAAAGGTTTATTTTCTATACCAAAAACCTTTAATGTTGGAAGGGCAGGGGAATCTTGAGTGTTGTGAATTAACAAACTACTTTCCAAAAGTCTTTTTTTAAGTTCCTTTTTTTTCAGGTCAATTAAATTATAACCCTGTTTACTTTTATGATTTTGGTGTACAATTTTGATTGAGACATGTCAGAACTAAGATTTAACCGGAGACTGGGTTTTAAAAAAAAAATATACATATACTCGTGGTTTTTATGATTTTAAAAAACAAATAAATCAGTGTTTTCAGTTCTTAGTTTTAGCTCCTTTCTACATCTAGCGTTGTATGGTCAAAGAAATACGATTGGCTGGGGACAATCCCTAATAATAATAATACGTAAGCACTGCAAGGGGAAAGTGGCTGGTGACTTGGAAGTGGATAGGAAGGGTAGATGGTGGCGTCTAAATATACATTTAAGCCTATAAAATAACGCCTCCATGTTTCGAAGTGATTGTCATATTGTTGTTTTGTGTTTTCACAATGAATTTACTAGATACATGAACAGTAATATTTAGTATATTTGCCTTAGTGATTCTCTTCCCTTTTCCCAATAAAGCCTGGGGTAGTTATTAGACAACAAAAAAAAAAATTTGATGGAAAATAAAATCAGGTTTCTAGACTTAATGCAGGGATGGTTAACACGTGGCCCACCACATTAAATATAGTGGCCCACCAGATGTATCAAAAAATGAACTTATTTCTTCATTCAGTTTCATTTTTTTGCATAGAGCATGTTTGAAAAATATATATAAATTTTTTTTCTTTTGTCGGCACACACCATTTTGGTGTACCTGCTTCTATTTTGGACTGAACTAAAAAGTATATTGAAATAAGCAATAAATTATAAAAATCTTTTTACTATTTAGTATCTACCCGGTACTAAAATTTAAAGATTTATATAATCACAGCTGGGTAAAGTGTAACTTATTTTCTCACAAGCATTTTGATTAAGTGTAGAATGATGCAAAAGTATATTCAAAAGTGCTTCACTCCATTTTGAATTTTTACAACATTTCTAGGAAGTGGGGCTTTGCCTTCTTCTCAAATCTCAGCTCCACTTGGGTGATTTGGGTGGGTGTCCTTAATGTTCACTCCCCCAAAACATCTATCAAATGGGCAAATAACAGGGCACCTAATTATTTGCAATAATGCACTGTATGTAAATAAAGTCAATGTGCTTCTTTGAGAAGTGACCTTTATTAGACTGGATGCTGATAGTTATTGTATACATTATACTATATGTTTATTTACTATTATTATAGGATATTGTACAATTTTGAGATAGTAAAGTACTATTCTGAGAGTGAATCATACTATTTTGGGAGTTCTAGTGTAATCTAGTCTGCATTTGGAAGCATCCATCTTATCCCCCCTCCCCCCCCCCACCACATTCTGCATTTACTCGAAACTGTATGGAATGAGTTAAAATAGTTTTATGCAATTTAGCAATCATCATATTTCAGCTTGATTTTGAAACCATTTAAAGGATGAAATATTTGTCCTAATTCATGGGATTCTTATTGTTGCATCTTTCTCCATATTCTCTTGTCCATTGATTTATTCAACTCTATAAATATTAATTGAATCATGTTAATAAGTCATTATAATTTAAATGATTGTACACATTTCAATATCAAATCTGAAAGTAGATAGACTTTTACTTTCATTGTGGTATTGTTGTGATCATCTGATTTAAACAGAGTATCTTCATTATTTGTTATGTACAGCCTCTTGCAATTTTACAGAGATGAAGGGGTTGATGATGGAGGGATGGGAGATGAGGTAGAGGCAGCCTATGAAGAGTTTCTTCAGGAGCAGAGTAATTACATTCAAGGTTATCAGTCTAATCAGACGGGGCATTCTATTCCACCACCTCAGCAACAGATAATGACACAACCCATGACTCACCCAATGTATCAGGTGAGTCTGTTGAATAAGACACCTGGTTAATATTTCTTCCTCAAGGATTTCAACCCTTTGAATCCTGGATTCCTCCCCACTTAAATCCCAATTCCCCTGTACTCATGCAAAAATTCACACAAAATTTGATCCTGGGGATAAAATATAAGATGCCTTTTATTGATTTTGTAAATGTTTTAAAATATAGTTTATCACCAAAAATTTTGTTTTGTATCCCAGTCCTCCCAGCATGTAGAACCTTATTTTAGGCAGCTGTAACTTTTGAACATTTTGCACCAAAATTTTATTTGCCCCTTTTTTTATTGGGTCTGTGTTGGAAAGTCACTGAAATGTCTACTTGACTTCATAACACAAACAACACACATGTTGTTTCCTGTAGCTTTTACCCACATTGAGTAGCCTGTCATAGCTATCAACAAGACTGTTATTTCTCTGCCATCCAATCACCAATGAGTGGCAAACTTATCTAATTTCATTCATGAACATTCCAAATGATCTGAATCATTTCCAGTATTTTTGTGAGAGTTGTAGTTGTGTATAAGAACATAGAAATTATTGCAGGCCCTCATATGATGAGGCCAATGATAATGCAGGCGGTTTTGTTGAGTCAATAAACTTGATCATTCACATCACAAACACCCATGATTTTAGTGTAGTCCATACAATTTTTGTGTTAGAACACCTACTGTAGTTCCATCTTTATTTCTTCTTTTTAGAATTTGTATATCAGTTGGGTTGTGATAAGTAGAAATAAATTGTACGGGTCTTTGGTCCATCCAGACAAGACAGTGTTATTGTGGCCAAAAGACTGATTGGCCATGAACCCTTTTTTTTTGCTAGCTATTTCAGCACCAACCTTGGAAACACATCCTCTAATTTTCCTTTGTATATTTCTAAATTTAAAATATATTCAGTCAGCTTCTTAAGCCATGTTGGCCATATCCTCCATTTATTTGGTATTGATTCTGATATATTGTTTGAACTTAAGTCTTCATTTAGATGGGATCATTCTTTTGTTTTAAGTTCAAATGTTGGGATAGAGAATAATAATGTCTAAACTTTGGCAGTTTATTAATTTTGTCCAGATCTAAGGTGTGTGTGTGAGACGGGAATATATGTCTTGTGGGGTATGGATTTTTAACACACAGACCAGTGTGGGATATGGGCTCAAAGGGTTATAACTTCTGTATATCAGACCCGTTTACTCTTATGATTTTGGCATACTATGCACAAACCTGCGTGGGGGAGGGGGGGGGCTAGTTGGTTTAAGATCTACATACTAATGCACAAGCCTTTTTTAGTAAATAAAGAAATATAAAGTTACCTCCATTGTCTTTGAAGAGTCCACAGAACATGAGGAAAACTTTACTGGAAATTTTGTTTTCATATGTATGCAGGCTGCTAAGAGTTCAGTTTTAAATAAAGTTTTCCAGCATATTCCTAATGGCCTTTTTGGACTTGTCCAACAGCTCTTTGGACAACTGAAGGTTAGCATTGCAACTGATTTTAGTTACAAGCAAGTTAGAAAGAGTATCAACTTTCATTCTTGCCCTTGTTTCATTGTAATTTTTCTTCACAATATACTAGCAATCTGCGAGTCTGGAGACATTTCTTTAATTCTGGCATTAATACGATCAGAGTTGGCTGGAGAAATATTTCCTTCAATAGGAAAGGTCGTAAATGAAGCTTCCGATCTGATAACTGAATCATCTGATTCCTTAGCAAAGAAATTAGACATGGATGTCGTAGATTCACTAATTTTAGCTGCAGTTGTATGTTTTTTGGGGTTAAAATATGTTCATTAATACCCACTACTTTCACTAGATTTTTCCATTTAAGAAAAGCTGAAACAAACAAAAAAGAGTCATAACACAACTGAATTGTGTTCTAGCCTAGTAAAAGGATGAATCATGATAGAAACAATTGATGATTGAAGTATAATTTGGAGATCACGGTTCTCTACAATAAAAACAAGGCAGTCTTTATACGTCCTGCGATCAGACAAATAGTGCAGGAGTTATTCATTTGGTGGGCATGTCATGCTTTATTTAACATTGTCACTTTTTAAAAAAATTTTCATTATATATACCAGCAATGGTTTTAGTATTTCTTTTGTAGAATTGAAAGTATTTCTTTTTCATGTAAATATCCAGACTATCTTGAATTTGTTCAAATGAAGTACCCTAAACTCTGATAGACTATTAGCGGTCAGGTGACGAGGCTGATGGACAAGCATCTCATGCAACTTTGTTACGGCGGTCATGTAACTTGGTCGAATATATTTTAGCTGGACGAATATCTCGAGAACTTATTCGTCCGGTCGCCGGACATTAGACACTTTGTAAAAACAAGGAAGTGGCATCAACGAAATGCACCACTTCCTGTCATACCTTTTTTTTTTTTTCGTCGCTTTTGTATTTTTGTGATGGGTGAAAAATTATCATGTTAGGGGAAAATAGGAATTTTTAGGGGTTTGTCGGAATGAGGGGTAAAAAATCCATATAATTCGTCAAAATCGGAACGGTTCACAGGTCTGTATATATGTTTTTGAGACATCTTGTACGATTGTTAACTATAATTATATTATATTTTCTCTGAGAGGGGAATGGCATAGTAGTCTGTACAATTACAACTGCCACATTTTCGTAATGACAGTGGTGATGGTCATATTGTTGCTTTATATTTTCAAATGAAATCGCTAGACATGGCAACAGCAATAAAAGGGTAGTAACCCTAGGCCCTACTGACAATTTTAGTCAATTAGCAGCAATCCATATAGTACCTACACAGTGACTGGGGAAGTGGGGAGTGGTATTAAATTTTGAAACAATATTAGGAGTTGAGAGTAAACAGGTCTTGTATATGTGAAGTTTAAAAATCTATATTATAAGTTAAATCTGCATTTAAATATGTGTGTCTTTGTATAAATATATATATATATATGTATTTTTTGTATATATTTATTAACAGTGAAGTGTTGGAAAATTGTAATTGAATATTATTTGGCATTCCAGTTATTTAAAAAAAAAACATGGAGGTATTACAGGAATTTTTATCTTGTGCCATAACATAAATTAATCAAGGTTTTATTTTTTCCTTCCACTACTACACAGCAACAGGGGCTGAATCAGAACTACTACGGCATGATACCCCCACCATCAAATCAACAGCAGCAACATATGCATGCTACAATGATGCAGCCCAACCAGTTGCCCCATCAAGATCAGCAACATCCACCACAACAGTATCCATACAATGGTGACAACAGCTATTACCGGTGATAGAGGCAGGTGATAAAAAAAACGTGTGCTTGTTTTTTATGCTCAAACAAGAGAAAATAAAAAAATACCTAAGCTTTTTATGTTTAAATGCTCTTTTTAAGTTTTCTCCTTTGCATGTTCAGATAAGTTTTATGTGCATTCTTCTTATTATATTTCAGTTTTTTTGGGTCCTTTATTATGTTTCTAATTTTGTTGTTATGCTCTCAGAACTTGAAGTTAATTGATGCAGTTGTTGGCAGTAAGCCTTTTGGATGCTAGGACTGAAAGAAAAGGTTGAGTTTATAAAGAGGATAACGCACATTCAAGTAATAACACTAATAACAGCAATAACTTGTCATGTTTGTGAAACTTGAGCCGTGTGCAGATTAGATTTACTGGCTAACCCATTTCTTTCTCTGATTTGGTTGGCTGAGCCCTGTCACTAGTAAACATTGTATATCAAAAGCTGTCATACATTTCTATTTTTTAGCACATGTTTTCAAAGTCATTACAAAGGTACAAGCGTAATTTTCCTTTATTATTATAATGCATTGAATAAATACATTTTTATTGATGGTGATTAGTTTCAAAGACAGATATTGCATTGGGTGAATTCTTTTTTTTGCTCCCTTAATTTTACAAAACAAACCCCAACAGCATTTAGAATAAAAGGTAGTTTTATTTATATTTAGCATTATGTTTTTCTTGACTTTTCTAAGCGTAAAGCAAACAAAAGACAATATTTGAACAACATATTTAATCCATGATTCATTTAGCTCTTTAAAGGTTGGTTGTTTCTCCAATTTAAAAAAAAAATTTTGGCATTCAGTGAATGAATTGAAAGCAGTCACAGATTTAATTTTTAAATTCATTATTTGTGATGCACTAGTGTTAAAGATAAGCACAGATTATTAAAAGTGACATTTTGTTTAGAGACTGATAAAGTAGGAAAAAAAGGGAACAATCCCTAAAAATTAACTAATAATTTCTCTTGTTGGTGCATTTTCAAAAAAAAAAAGATAGTTATTTACAATAATTTCTTTTAAAATTTATAGGTGTCACTATTTGCAGAGGTGTTCAAATTTGTTCTTGCATAGTCACATAATCTTTTATGAGTTACAGCTTTTAATTTTTAAAACATCTATATTTCAAAGCACTATTACACGTGCGCCCCCCCCCCCTTTTCTGTTTTATTAAATTTTGCTTTATAACAATTTCGATCAACTTCAAAAAATTATTTTGATACAAATATATTTTCAGCCTTAGATATTTTCTTGTTAAATTTATAAAAATAGAACTCTTACTTAATCTTAATCAATAAAGTTAAATGATTTCATTAAAAAATTTTTTTTTTTATATATATAGTTAATTCTCACAATGCGCTCAATATTTTTTCTTCTTCCAGATTTTAAAATTTAATTGTACAGGATGCATGCATGCTTGCAATTACTGTGTGTGCATGTTAATATCAGGCTGATAAAATAGTTGACTGCTTACCATGGTATTTAAAATTTACTTATGTTTGAAATTCCCAGAAGAAGTTTTGTCTTATTTAACTTCTTTTCATTCAAGTTGTAATTTTCAGAATCTTAATTATTTAGAATATATATTCAGGATTTGATGACAATATTAGAAGTGTTTTAATGTTATAAATAAGATTAAGTGGTGTTATCTAATATTAAATCTAAAATGAGGTACAATTTAAAAGGTAGCCCTGAATAAGTTTTTAAAAAACTTTTATGCTGTCTCAGAGCGTGATATCAGTTAGGTTAGGTTAATCATGTCAAACCCAGTTGGAGATAAGACAAAGTTTTGAAAACAAATTCCACACAAAATGGGAAGAGGGGTTACATTTACTTAGATAGTAAGATAACAACTAGCTTAGTTTAATAATAAAGATCTATTTCAAGAATCATCACCATTGGTCTTTTCCCTATAAGAATTCATAAAGGCTTCTCAACACACACTGATTACTACTACTTGTAGTCAGTTTAAAATTATACCTAACATTAAAAAGTCTTTTTCATCGTTTATGTTTAAAATTTGCATTATTCTTTTTAAAAATTTCTCCCATATATAACAACTCCAAATATAAAACTGAAAAAAAAAAAACAACCTTGAATAATTGCATTGCCCTGTCATGTTAATGTGTGATTTCAACACGTCTCTCCCTTGGATTTGAAAGGAAAGTAATGTCAAATGAGGGTTTTTTCCTATAGTGATTAATGTAATTATACAATCAAATGAAATTACATCACAAAGAAAAAGCTATATGAATTAGAAATCTCTACAAATCATAAATCTTAATCATAGGGATGTGGTAGTTTTAGTGGTAATGTTTTTTAAAATGTTAGTTTGCAATTTAAAAATCTTTTGTTTTTCTGCATCATTTTATTCCATGCTAAATACTGAATAATTCTCTGAGCTGAGGGTAACTTTCTATTTAGTACTGTTTGTTCCAATGGTTTGTAAGAATCTGTTATGTCATGTAACCCATTCATAAAACTATGGCCATATGCTGAACACAGCTTATTTACATCTGTGATATTACATTGTTGCATTTATTTTAAAAAGTCAGGTCTGTAGAAAACAAAAGCAGCATTTACAATATATTGATGGTTAAGAGATATATACATCAATTTTATTTTTTCTATAAAAAAATGAATTAAAAAAAAATCAAAAAATATACATAAAATTCCATAAAAAAAATAAATTCAAAAACTAAATAAAAAAAAAAAAAAATAAAAATTTAAAAAAAAATAAAAGAAAAAAAAAATTGATGGTTAAGAGATATATAAATCAATTTTATTTTTTCTATAAAAAAATGAATTAAAAAAAAATCAAAAAATATACATAAAATTCCATAAAAAAAAAAAATTCAAAAACTAAATAAAAAAAAAAAAAAATGAAAATTTAAAAAAAAATCAAGGAAAAAAAAAAGTATAACAATCTGTTATTGTCTCACTGTTAAATTTGAGTACTAGATGTCAGAAGTGTGTTAGTTACATTGATATGTGCTTGATTTAGTTGCATTTCAGTTATTATTCATTGGAGAGTTTTCAGTTTGATGGCCACTTGTCATTTCATGTTTGTGTTGAAATTCATCAAGTTTATCTTTGAATTATGCAAAACAAAATTATCACTGCATGGAAGCTGTGCATTTCCTTACACCACTTTCATGCTATTGCAGGAAATAGTAGGGATCCAGTACTGTGTGCATTCATAAGTTAATCAAACAAAAGGTTTAGACAACTTGAAATGTGCAGGAGTTGCTAATGTAATTATAGTTTGTAATTATTGCAAAGTTCAGGTATGTCTTTTAAATTATATCTATACTCCCTTAATACAAGGAAGATTTGAAAAAATCATATTTTTTGGGGCAACACCAGAATTAACATTTAATATTGTGTTGGGATGTGTTCTATTAATTATCTCAATTGAATTAATGGGCCTAATATCCTTTTAATCTTGTAGCTGTAAACCTGTCCATTAAGTATTTTTTTTGTTTATCTTTGTCTATTAAAACTTAATATTTTTAAAACTTATAGTCATTAAAAAAAAAACTGGTCTAAACAACAGAGTGCTTTTGCGTTTTAAATGTAATTAGCTTTAGATCAATTTTTTGTGATCATTTTTTATATTAAATTAAAGAGCAACCCTACAAGTATGTTAGTTTCTGCTTTATTTTGTCATCTGATTGGTAGGAAGACACTACAGCTAGAGCTCCACTTACGACCACGATCGGTTCCGACAGACCCGTCGTAACATAATTTGTTCGTAAGTTGAGTACGCTATGTGTACCGTAATGTTAAGTGATGTTATAAAAATATTAAAATTATAGCATAAATTTCTTTTATTTGGTATAAATCATAATTTTCTATGTTCACGACCGCCGATGATTGCAGACAACGCCGTGCGACGGATAATTGAGGCAGAAATAAATCTGAAATCTAATACAGTGTGGCTAGTGATTGTGGTCGTAAAGTCGAATGGTCGTAAGTTGCATAGGTCGTAAGTCGAGCACTAGCTGTAGATAATTGTATCATACGCCATTGGAATTCAAATATCCATCTTTTAAAGGTTGATTTTTCCATGTCAACTTTCAAGTTTTTATCATTTGTGAAATGTTCAAATCTGCATTTATGTTGTGCTTATTTCCTTCCATAACCAATCAGTGATTTTGAATAATTGAGAGAAGAAAATCACACAAATGGTGCTGTCATTCAGCTCTTAATTTGACACATTGTGTTGTGTTTATCAGATTAAAAAAACACTGAACTATTCATAAATTAAAATATACCTGCAGTATTTAAAGTATCTTAAAGTTGTTTCTTTCTTTACAAATCAATCATACTTTATTATAATATTGTAGATCTGCATTGAGGCAAATCTATTCTTCAGCACATGGTATTTTAATCTAAGTAAAAGAACTTTAAGGTGGTATTTGTATAAACAAATTTACTAATCAGGATCAAGTGGTTTCACCTATATGAAATAAATGCAGATTTAGTGCCTATCCCACTTCCATCACCTCTAGGGATAACTCAAGTTAACTGCTGTTCACTTCAAATATTAGTATTTAAAACATAGCCCTTTACTTTTCTATTAAAATATTAGTATTTAAAGCAGGCCTGCACAGGATATGGGCTGCGTTATTATTATTTTCCTAATAGATTTCCCCCCCCCCCCTCACGTATTATCTTTTGGCCCCCACAAGTTTTTCATAACATATATTACGGCCCGACTTACATTTTGGGTTGTGCAGGCCTGATTTAAATCATAGCCTTTTACTTTTCCATTAAAATATTACTATTTAAAGCATTGGCTTTTACTGTTCGGTTCAAATACTTGGTATGATGTGTGTCTGAAATATTGATCAATGCTTTTGAATAAACAGTTTGTAAGATGGAGAACACGTAGAATTCTGTTTTGAAACATGTTATTATGTATATCAAAATATCATTTGTCTTAACTTTTGATTATTGTATGTATGGTTTTGTTTCAAAGGGAAGCCACTCATGCTGGGATGCCTGCTGTCATGTAAAGGAATATGTTTCTCTTAACCAAGACATTAAAATATTGTTGTAGAGATGATGTTATTATTTCACGGTTAACCTGGTTTACTATTGTGTCATTTTACTTTGTGGCTTGTTGATGTCTTGTCATGATTCCAGTAATAAAACATGTCAAAATTCATTACGAATTCAAGACTTCATTTCGTTGTAGCATTATGAGTTGTTTTTTTTACTTTTACAACCAACAAAAAAAAAACCACCAAACTATGCACTATTGCCACAGGGAAACATGGATATTGTGAGGAAGAGCCAGTGATGAATGTTTATCCTCAGTCACGTAGTTCTAGTTCTATTATAGTTCAAATCTTGAGACTTTGACATGATAGAATTACCCTTGTGCTTAAGTTGAACAAGTTAGACTTCTTATGTAACTTAACTTGGAATAGTGAAGTTACAATTTACATATTGCAAGTTAAACTTCATATTTAACTTAACTTGGAATAGTGAAGTTACAATTACATATTGCAAGCAATGTTCCATTGAAGCTGCACGCTGCGCGGCTATCTCACAGACGCCGCGCAGCAGTTTTGAGTATCCGCGCAGCAAATTTCCATGGGCTGTAAAATTTTGCACACTAAAAAACTTTGATGCTGTAAAACTTTGCACACAACTGTATGATTTTGCACACGAACCAGCAAACCTTAGAGGGAACATTGATTGCAAGTTAGACTTCTTGTATAACTTAACTTGGAAATAGTGAAGTTACAATTACATTTTAAAAGATTTGGAATGAAAATGTAATTTTTTAAACACTTTCATTAATTTATGATATGGCTAGATTTCAGATAAAACTCACTTGGCTAAGATAAATAATAATATTTGTTGAAATGGGATGATAAGTCATTAAAAAAAATTACTATTTACAAGTACACTTAAAGCTGATAGGAATGAAACCGAAAGAGATGCTAAAAAGGGTAAATTACGAATCATTTTATCCTGCAACGCCGAAGAGCTCTGATATACCTTTTAAGTATTATAGTTATAGAAAAAATGTCTGTCTCAAAAAAAAAAAAAAAAAAAAAAAAAAAAAAAAAAGTTTGACAAAAAAAAAAAAAAAAAAAAAAAAAAAGAAAGAAAAAGAAGTTAAAATTGTCCCAGAATTAAATTTTGAAACATCAATTTTAAACCTAAATTTTATTTATGTATTGAACTTGAAACTTTCCAATGCAATAACAAACAAAATTTAGTTATTGACATTGTAATTTCAATGTCACTTACGTGCGGACAGAAAGTAGATAGCTAAGCCTATACTCCAAAATCGTCAGTCAAACGATGGTCTATTGCTAGCATCAAATAAGCATCATGGAGTGCATAGAGAAAGATGTGATTCAATTACCGGTACAGGTATTTAAAAAAAAAATTAAATGGAATATGTACATTGAAGAAACCAAACAAAAAAAAAAAAAAAAATGAAATATGAAAAATAATCTCCATTGTCCTGGGAAAAGAACGTCAAGTTTTAAATGTGCAAGTAAGATAACTGAGGGTACTCCAAACCACTGAGAATTGAGAAGCAGTGTTTTTGTGTGTGGACATTTTACACAACTGCCATTAACATATTTCCTTACAATTGTAGTATGAATACTCATTAAAATTATACCATTTAAAAGATGGAGTCTAGCATTTTAAGAATATGATGTTTGTTTTTCTATTAGTGTTAGTAAAAAGTAATTTTTTTTGGTGGTTAGAAAAAACCCTCACCGCATCGACTATTAGCGGCATCTTAAAAGATGAACTGATTTTTTGAATTCTATAATCGCAGCTGTACTTTTGAGACAAAATACCGAAAGAAAACGGTGGCCATGATCTAAAATACCTTTAGAAAGTTTCACAGTGGCTGTTATCTGTATGTAAAATACTACAGGAAAATGTCACAGAGTCCATAATTAATATCTAAACTACTATGAGGAAGGGTTCTCACATACTATGATTATACATTTCGCTTTCAGGCGCTATGTTGACAAGTCAACTCTTGATTTGACGGAAGGGGAAAAAACAACATATACCGTAGTTAATTTCATTAAAACCCAGTTCACACGATCACATTTTCGTAAAATTTCTTTTTGAACACACTATTTTTGTGTGTTACAAAATAGTGCATTCAAAAAGAAATTGGACGAAAATCTGATCGTGTGAACTGAGCTTATCAAAATGTTCCTTATTCACAAATCTCAAGGGGAGCTACAAAAAAAAAAAAAAAAAAAAAAAAAATAAAAAAACCAAAAAAAAAAAAAAAAAAAAAAAAATAAAAACAAAAAGGGAAAAAAAAAAAAAAAAAAAAAAAAAAAAAAATTATAAAATCCAGAGAGCTGCAAGATAATAAAAGAATTCTTGCTTGCTTTTCTATATATTCTAATGGATATTTAAAAAAAAGGACAGGTAGACACACAGTAAAGAAAAAAAAATTAACAAGGCCACAGAAAGTCCTAAGTCAATCACCTGTGTACAACACTACATGGACATGACCAGCACTCAAAGAACATTCTCAGTTTTGTTTACAGACCCGATGAAATGCTTCAGCCGAGGCATAGGTATCAAGTTATTTATAACAATGGGGCAACCTAGCTTCTGTTTTTTTT